CAATTGCGATAGGCGAATGTTTGACAAGGCTGACAGCCAAGGCAGCCCTGATAGCCAGGGGAGAAGCTGCCCGCGAACATTTCCTGCCAATTCAGTACGGCGTGGCAGTGCCAGGTGGAGCAGAGGCAGTAATACACGCAGCCAGGGCATTCTTGGATGCCCGTCCTAACAGCCTGGTCCTGCAAGCCGATATATCGAACGCATTCAACAGCATTTCGCGACGCGCCATCGCCACTGCGTTACAGGAGCCTGGACTCTCGCCACTACAGCCACTTGTAAAAATGACTTACGGTAACCCGTCGCAGCTGTTCCTCGACACTGATTTCAACTGCGAACCACTGCAAAGTGAACGGGGCGTTCGGCAGGGTGATCCACTAGGCCCGTTACTGTTTGCAGCGGGAATACACCCCACGCTCCGTGAGATTACAGAGGCACACCCCAACGTGCTCTGCTGGGCATATGCGGACGATGTCACCTTCCTGGGTGACACTTCGTGCACTGTAGCAGCTTTCACAGACTTAGCGGCCAAGCTGGCACGCCTGGGCCTGACGCATAACCCGCAGAAATGTGCGGCCTGGAGCTCGATCACAGTGACACAAGCACAACTCCCACCCGGGGTGCCAGTTTCAAAGGACGGGGTACGGCTCCTTGGTAGCTACGTGGGGACAGACGCCGGAGCCACTAATTGAACGAGCTGACCCCCAAGTAGCCGCGCTGCTACTCACGAGATGCATTTCTAGACGAGTAGCCTACCTCATTAGAACGACACCGCTCCACCTACTCCCCGGCGACACCTGGAGCCAGTGGGGTCGGGACCTGCTCACTACCTTACTCACCTCCTGCGACATCCGCATGCCAACTTGCCGCACTGAGCAAGCACGTGTGTGGGAGCAGGCGTCGCTTCCCACATCGCTGGGTGGCATCGGCATTACAGACCTGTTGGTGCAACACTATGGTTTGCACTCGGCTTGTTGTCCGTGTGCGTGCATGTGTGTGTGTCTATGGAATGGTATGAGGGCATGAGATAATATATATTTAATGCTTATAATTGTGTGTGAATGTTGAGTCATGATGTCGAGTGTATGTGTCGAGTCAATAGCGAGTTATCGCTAGACGCGTGTTACGTGGTCGTTTGTGTCTCGCGCGCGGTTTCTATTTTGTCGTGCGCGGTTTCTCTTTTGTCCTGTGTCGAACGTTCGGTGTGTCGCAGGTGTGTGCAGCAGACCCATCAAGAACTCAAGGATGAGTTTGTGATGAAGAGCCGAGCCTTGGTGTCAATCCACAAGTGATTTCAAAGCTCGCCAAAAGGGTACACCTCAAGATATTGAAGATAGTTACATTACTTTGTGTAGTGTAACATTTCACTTGGTGTAGGCCCTAGTGAAGGGTAGTTTCGAGACCCTTCGTGGTTGGGGACAGTGTGGCACTGTTCCACATCACTGTACCTCGGCTCTTGGGGTTTGTAGGAGCTGGGAGTCATTCCCAACTCGTAACTCTTCCTAACTCTTCCTATCTTGTGTTCTAAGACCATAGTGGCTGCCATAGTGCCGTTCGTTCAAACCAACCCTGTGTCGTCAATACTTGGTCAAATCGTGCGATCTAAATTGCCTATTGTAGGCGACAATAAGGCGCTCCAGATCCAAGTTGAATCAAGTCATTTAAAGCTGTGACCAAAACGTTATGAACGTTTGAAGCCGCTGTGCAGAAATCCGACTGTGCACTCTATCTTTCGTTTTAGGCACATTGGAGCCTACTGTGTCTATAACAAGACCCGCTCGTTGAAGGGATCTACGGTTTCACAGCAAGTTGCACTCAAGCAGCGCTGTTCTTGTCCTCCCTGGGGCTAGCACCGGAGAATGCCCTGACGATCGCTCAGAACCACATGCTGCTGCCAAGAGATGACAGCACGCCGATGCATTCCTGGCTCAAGGAGTGCGAAGCGGGTCTGCCACTAGACGCGCGCGAGATCCTGGAGAAGGAGCGGCTGGAGCGATCGGATATTAGGCTGCAACATGTGCTCGGGCTAAAGGTGCACGGAAGCAGATACGCTGTACAGGTCCAGGCAACCAGGCGCATGCGGCTGAACCCACTCTCAGGCCACACGCAGCGTATGTTTTCGCTGACAGGGTATGGCACCGGCGATTGGCTGACCGCGATCCCCATTGAACCCACCAGACGGGTAGGCCCCGTACATTTCGCCAACGCCGTTCGATTCCGCCTGGCCCTCCCCTTTTCAACCCCTAAGAACTGCGACTGTGCGGACAAGACCGCCATCACCGATCCCCGCCAGCCGAACCATCTCCTCCGCTGCGGCTTGGGCAAACACCGCATCAACACCCACAACGAGCTACGGGATGCGTGCATTAGCATGGCGCAGCACGCATGTTTCATTGTTCACAGCGAGTCGGCCGCCCATTGCCCTATTGAGGAACAAACTGCCGACTTTACCATGACGGATAGAAGCAGTGGGGCGGTTTATGTCTGTGATGTCACCATCACGGACCCCATCAGCATGAGGGACCCAGAGGCGCAGAAAGGCAGGGGATGGGCGGCACAGGAGCAGGCGGATAAAAAGATTAAGCACTATGAAAACCGGCCAGAAACAGTAGGTTTCTTTCCCCTCGTAGTGGAGACCTATGGCTGCCCTTGTGCTGAGGTCCCTGTGTTCCTGAAACTCCTTGCAGACACGGCGGCTCGGCGATACTTCAACGCCGACTCCAAATCCTATCACGCCGCGAAGTTCCTGCACCAGTTCAGGCAGAGGTGGTCGGTTGCACTGCAGAGGGCCCAAGTTGTGGGTCTCATGATCAAGTTAGGGGAGGCGGCTGTTGCAGAGAACCCGCCTGTAGGAGGGATAGGGCAGGAATTATACCTTGGGGACTATTTTACTGTCCTGGAGCCTCTTCTTGAGCTCTAGGTGGCACAGAAGGGTTGGATAGTCTAGGCTACCCTGCATATTAGCACCCTGCTATCTCTCATTGCATGTGTGTACCCTTCTGGCTTATCAATATATAGACCATTAGAGAGAGAGAGAGACAGAGAGAGAGAGAGAGAGAGAGAGAGAGAGAGAGAGAGAGAGAGAGAGAGAGAGAGAGAGGCATCAAAAGCGGTCGTGACAATCATGGGCGAGGCTACACGTGAATACTTTCTGCCACTACTGTACGGGGTGGCTGTGCCAGGTGGAGCAAAGGCAATCATTCATGCCGCCCGGGCCTTGCTAGACGCACGCCCAGATAGCGTCATACTGAAGACGGACATTTCGAACTCATTCAACAGCATCTCACGCCAGGCGATCACAACTGCGTTACACAACCCCAACCTTTCGCCACTGCTCCCGCTAGTCAAATTGACCTATGGTAACCCGTCGCAGCTCCACTTGGACGCATAGTTCGTCTGCAAACCTCTGAACAGCGAACGAGGAGTTCAGCAAGGGGACCCCCTCGGCCCCTTGCTCTTTGCTGCTGGAATACACCCTGCATTATGCGAAACCGCTACCGCACACCCACAAGTCCTATGCCTCGCCTACGCTGACGACGTCACATTCATGGGGGAAACCAACGCTGTCGTAGCCGCTTTCACCCATTTCACTGGCAGCCTCACACACATCGGGCTCACGCATAACCCCGGGAAATGTGCAGCGTGGCACCGAAACTCAGATTGCACGACTTCACTACCGCCTGGAGTGCCATTCAGGGCGGGCGAGGTCCGCCTCCTTGGTAGTTACTTGGGACCTCCAGCAAGCACCGCAACAATTCTGGCGGCATAGTTAGAGGATATGGCGAAGCCACTGCCACCCTTACATCGTACGGATCCCCAGGTGGCTTCTCTTTTACTGACCCGCTGCATCTCCCGTCGCGCTGCATATCTCACCCGAACCACACCCATTAACCTGCTGGAGCGCGACAAATGGTCCCAGTGGGGAAGGGATCTCCTAGCCACCTTGCTTACCGTATGCGGAATCCGTATCCCCTCGAGTAGCTCAGAGTTGGAGAGGGTGTGGGCATAGGCGTCTCTCCCGCCGTCACTTGGCGGAACTGGACTCACAGACCCGACCGTAGAAGGTGTCCACGGATTCCTCGCTAGCTACTGCCAGGCCACGCTTTTCATAGATTTTCTGGCCCCTGAAGGAGACGGCATACTCTCGACGGTCAGAAACCACATGCTGTTGCCACGCGATGTCAACACGCCTCTCCATGCGTGGCTCTCCGAATGTGAATTGTCTCTGCCCACCGATGGCCGCGAGGTGCTGGAGAAGAAGCGACTAGAGCCAAAGGGTATTAGGCTACAGCATGCCTTGGCACTCAAGGTTCAAGGGAGCAGATACACGGTACAAGGGGAACAAGGCGCATGCGACTGAATCCACTTTCCGGGCACACGCAGCGGATGTTCTCCCTCACTGGCTACGGCACGGGTGACTGGTTGACCGCCATTCCAGTAGCAACTACACGTCGTGTTGGCCCTGTACATTTTGCAAACGCGGTGCGCTTCAGGCTGGGCCTCCCTTTCTCAACGCCCCAAAACTGCGACTGCACAGAGCATACCGCCATACCTGACCCGCGCCTTCCCGACCACCTGTTCAGATGCGGGACAGGCAAGCATCGCATCAACACTCATAACAAGCTACGCGATGCTTGCATCAGCGTGGCAGAGAAAGCTGGGTTCATAGTACACGGGGAGACAGCGGAATACTGCCCGGTTGACGAGCAAACTGCCAATTTTTCCAAGAGGGATAGAAGCAGTGGCGCGGTGTACGTGTGCGACGTCACTGTTACCGACCCCATCAGTACTAGGGACCCGCAGGCACTGAAAGGAGGAGGATGGGCGGCACGGGAGCAAGCTGACAAGAAGCTCAAGCACTATGCCAATCTGCCGGACACGGTGGACCCTCCACGAGTGTACAGGCTCGATCCAGGGTGATGGGTGAACGTGGCCAGGTGCCGGCCCGTCCGAGTACACGAACAGTGGGTCACCCGCTGACCTCCAAGAGTGAACTGGTCAACTCACGCGTCCTGAAGGTCAGCTCCACTCACCAAGTTCGTGGAGAACGAGGGGAGGTGGAGGCCAGACAGAGAGCCAGACAGGACCGCCAGACACGGCAGGACCGTGGAGGAGTGTGCAAGGACCGGACCCCCAGAGGGGTCAGCCAAAGAGACTGCCATAGGCCGACTGAGCGGCGAGAGTGTGGTGCAGTCGCGAAAGAAGGAGCGGGAAGCACCCGAGTCAAGGGTGAAAGTGTGTAAGGCCTGAGCTGACTCGGTACCTGAGAGAGCAGACTCACCAGTACCTGGGGCAGCAGATTCACCAGCACCTTGAGCAGCAGACTCACTAGCACCTAGAGCAGCAGCCTCAATGCCCGGGTCGAGCGGAACACACAGGTAACAGTCACCCTCAGCACTAATGGATACAGCATACATAGCAGCAGGGATAGCATCATAATCAGGATCAAAGATAGCAAATCCCGACATAAGCAGATCACCCCAGCGAGGGATCTCAGAGGAGTCGGGAAACTGCATACGCCAAGCGTCAGTCCGGCGGCCAAAGCAGCGCAGTGTGGTGTGCGGTCCTCCACACGTCTCCCCACTGCGGTCGCCGATGCGGAGAACGTAAGCGCAGGGACCAGCACCCCCAGACCTCCCACGCCCATCGTACCACTCACAAAGCTGCTGGGGCGACAGGGTCTCACGAGGGCGCTGCTGCTGCTGGCGTTGCCCACCGCCAAAGCCTCCCCGCTGCACAGCGCCACCTCTACCATCACCACCGCCGCCACCACCCCCACCGCCGCCGCCGCTGCCGCCACCTCCACCCCAACTGCCGCTGCCTCCGCTGCCTCCACCTCCACTGCCGCCACCGAAGCCCCCACCCCCGCCACCACCCCCACCTCCACCCCCACCCCCTCCGCCACCTCCACCACCACCGCCGCCCCCGCCGTCTCCTCCGGCACCCTTGCCCCCCTTGCTCCTGCCGCTGTGGCGCCTCCCACTAGGAGCAGACGCAGCGCCGACCGACTCGGTGCCAACGAGGTCGACAGCAGCAGCAGAGGCAACAGAAGGCAAGAGGGGAACGGGGGAGCACCCCTCAAAGAAAGGGGCATGAGGGTCACCACGAGAGGCCCCTACAACGACTATACTCTTCTCAGCTGCAAGGAGGCGCTCCTCGAGGAGGTCAACGGTGAGCGTGGTGGGGAAAAGGGAGAGGAAGTGCTCCTTGACCGAGCGAAGGGAGTCAGGGAGCCGGGTGACGAGGTAGTAGAGAGTGATGTACATAGGGGGGGGGGGGGGGTCGCGGCGCAGAACTCGGCAGGAAGCGCAGCGCGGTAGCGGGTGTCACTAGTGCGGAGGTGCGTAATGAGGTCAACGACTGTGGCAAAAGTGGCTAGGTCAAGGAAACGGTACGGTAGCATGAGGCGGCTAAGGGCAGCTGTGGCAGGGGAGGAGTAGCGCGCAACAACAGCGTCGTACAGAGTCCTAGCACTCTTGTACTGACTAAAGTGCGCACGCTCAGCAGACGGCAGGTGACTACGGATAGCAAGACGGGCAGCAGCATCGTGCGTGGTCCACTGCAAGCAAGCATTACTGTCAGCATCAACAGCAGGTGCAGTAGAGGTGCCAGACGTAAGATCAAAAAGCGAGACTCCGTCCTTGCTATCGCACTGCAGAAACAACTGCAGATCATCGACCCAGACCTCGAAATCAATTGCCCGAACCTCAGCATCGAAGGAAAGTACATTAGGGGTAGCCATGAGAGCAGTAGCAGTAGCAGTAGCAGTAGCAGCAGCAGCAGTAGCAGGAGCAGCGCGACTCGGCAGAGCGGGGCGGCTCGGTAGGGCAGCGCGGCTCGGCACGGAAGGCGCGGGTGCAGTGGTGCGCTTACCAGGGCGGGATCGCGGTAGGGCCGCAGCAAGAAGGGCAGGGCCAAGGCGCGCCGGCAGGTCAGGGCCGCAGCGACGGCGGCAATAGGGAGGGCCGCGGCGGCGGCATTAGGGAGGGCCGTGACAGCAAGGCGGCAGGGCCGCGACGGGTTCAGACAGGGCCGCGACAGCAGGGGCCGCGACGGCAGGGGCCGCTGTAGGGGGAGCGTGACGGCAGAGGCCGCGACGGGAGGGGCCTCGACTGCAGGGTCGCGAGAGCATTGGCCGCGACTGCAGGGGCCGCGACGGTCAGGGGCCGCGACGGCAGGGGGCGCGACGGCCAGGGGCCGCGACGGAAAGGGCCGCAAAGGCAGGGGCCGCGACGACCAGGGGCCGCGACGGCAGGGCCGTGACGGCTCTAGACTGCCCCCTGCTCGTGTCGCCTCCTGTCTCACCAGAGTCTCCTCTGGCACCACCGCCTTGGTCACCCCACCCTTCCTCGTCTCCGAGGCATGGCGTCCTGTGTCCTTCTCACTGGTCTTCCCCGGTCTCTCCCTCCCCTCCCCCCGCGGCCTGCCCCTACCTGTGTTCCATGCGTCGAGGGGCGGCAGCGCGCCGCTCCTCACTCCTCTGAGTTTCCTCCCATGGAGGCTCCCTTGCAGACTCTTCACATGGACGTGTGGGGCCCAGCCCGCGTCCGTGGACAGGGTCATGAGCGCTACTTTTTGCTGGTCGTTGACGACTACTCGCGTTACACCACAGTCTTCCCCTTGCGCCGCAAGGGTGAGGTCACTGAGATGCTGATCGACTCGATCTGCGCTACCCGTCGTCAGCTCAGCAAGAGTTTCGGCTCGGACTTTCCTGTTCTGCGTCTGCACTCCTCCGACCTTCAGCAAGCCTTCTGTCGTGCGGAGGGCATCCGCCAGACGTTCACGCTCCCGGCCTCTCCACAGCAAAATGGGATTGCTGAGCGCCGCATTGGCATGGTCATGGACGTCGCTCGTACGTCCATGATCCATGCGGCTGCTCCCCATTTTCTGTGGCCGTTCGCGGTTCAGTACGCGGCGCATTAGATCAACCTCCAGCCCCGGGTCTCTGTGCCGGAAACCATACCTACTCTGCGGTGGACGGGGAAGGTTGGCGATGCGTCTGCATTCTGTGTCTGGGGATCTCGAGCTTTCGTCCGCGACTTGTCCACGGACAATCTGTCCTCCCGTGCTGTTCCCTGCGTCTTCCTTAGCTTCCCCTCCGACGCGCCTGGTTGGTAGTTTTACCACCCCACCTCGCGCCGTGTTCTGTCCTCTCAGGACGTCACGTTTGACGAGTCGGTTCCTTACTACCGTCTCTTCCCCTACCGCACTGCCCCCCTTCCCCCCCCGCTGCTCTTCCTTGCGCCAGGTCCTCCCCCGGTAGACCCCCTCCCCCCTCAGGGTCCTGCCCCCTCAGGTGTGTCCCAGGTAGACGCAGTCGAGCCTGTCGAGGTAGCTGTTGACTCTTGTGCTGATAGGGGTGCTGAGCCTGCGGGTGCCGGGTCTGTGGGTGCTGAGCCTGACTGTGCGGAGCCTGGGGGTGCTGACTTTGGGGGTGCTGAGCGTGGGGTTGCTGAGTCTGGGGGTGCTGATCGTGGGGTTGCTGAGCCTGGGGGTGCGGAGCCTGAGGGTGCTGAGCCTGCGAGTGTGGAGTCTGGAGGTGCTGCGCTTGGAGGTCCTTCGGGTGCTTCGTCCCGGCTGGAGCCACTCTCTCCACAGCAGCTGCCCGAGTTGTTTGCTCGCCGCTGGAGCTGTGCTGCTGGAGCTGGTGGTGCTGCGGGCGCTAGAGGACCTACTGCTGCTGGGGTTTCTGGAGCCACTGGTCTCGAAGGTGCTCGTGCTGGAGGTACAGGAGCTGCTGGGCCTGGTGGTGCTACTGGGGCTGGTGCTGCTGGAGGTACTGGAGCTGGCGGTGCTGCTGGAGCAGGCGCTGCTGGAGGCACTAGAGCTGGCGCTACTGGAGCTGCTGGGGCTTCTGGTGGTCCTGCTGGAGCTGGAGCTGCTAGAGGTATTGGCGCTGGAGGTGCTGCTGGAGCCGGTGCTCGTGGGGGTGCTGGAGTTGGCGCTACTGGAGCTGTTGGAGGTACTGCTAGAGCTGGTGGTGCTGCTGGTGTTGGAGCTGACGCTGGGGGTGCTAGTGTTGTCCCTGCTGGTTCTGGAGGCGCTGCTCGGCTGCGGCCATACTTCGTTCCGCTCCTTCAGCTGGTTCTTGGTCTCTCACCTTCTTCTAGTCCTGCTCCTTCCTTCGAGTGTCCACCTCCTGTCCAGTCGCAGTCACAGTTACAGCCCGCCTCCCCACTGCCTGCTCTTTCTCCCTACACTGGTCCGACCGGAGGTCTTACAGAGCGTCCTGACCCTGAGTCTCGTCCTGCGTCGCCTATTCGTGCTGGTCGCACTAGTCGTCGTGGTTCGCGTCAGCATCCTCCTCCTGTCCCTGCCACGCACCAGATGGCTCTGCGTTCTTCCACTGATCTGCAGCGTGTCCCTCTGCCGTCTCCTCCTGCATCCTCTCTTCCTGCCCTTTCTGACCCGGCGTCTGACTCCCTTCCTGTGGCTAGTCCTACTGTCACGCGTCTCCTGGCCACTGTTGTCACTGACCCTTTCTTTGAGTCCACTGCTGCGTCTACTCTTGTTGCTGAGCTTGTCGACTATGCTGCTCACTGTCGTCTAGACTACGCCCCGAGTCTTGTTGCTGAGTCTGAGTCTGTCTGTCCTCCGTCCGTCGGGGGTGAGTGTGCTCTTAGCACGGACGTCCTTGAGGACACGCAGGAGGACTTTGAGTGCTTTGCAGCCGCTGTACCTCATCTCGTGTCCATGCTGATTGTACCTAAGGAAGACCCGGATGCACTAGACATCCCGACCCCGCGCTCTTACGCAGAGGTGATAGAGGGTCCCTATTCCTCTCAGTGGCAGTCACCCATGGACGCAGAGATGGCTTCCTGGAAGTCCACAGGCACCTACGTCGATGAGGTTCCCCCTCCTGGGGTGAACATTGTCAGTGGCACGTGGATTTTCAGGGTGAAGCGGCCGCTGGGTTCCCCGCCTGTCTTCAAGGCGCGTTACGTTGCTCGAGGCTTCAGTCAGCGACGGGGAGTTTACTTCTTCCAGACCTTCTCCCCGACCACGAAGATGACCACTCTTTGGGTTCTGCTGCACGTCGTTGCTCAGCGTGACTATGAGCTTCACTCTCTTGACTTCAGCACTGCTTTCCTACAGGGCAGTCTGCACAAGGAGATCTGGCTGTGCCGCCCACCTGGCTTCACTGGGTCGTTTCCTCCTGGTACCCAGTGGAGCCTCCGGCGGGCAGTCTACGGTCTCTGCCAGGCGCCCCGTGAGTGGCACGACACACTAAGGACTACGCTTGCAGCTCTTGGGTTTGCTCCTTAGACTGCTGACCCGTCGCTTTTTTCTGCGCACCGACACTTCGCTGCCGCCGTTCTACATCCACGTGTACGTCAACGACTTGGTCTTTCCCACTGCTGACACTGAGGGACTCGCCCACGTGAAGTCGAAGCTGCAGAAGAGACACACGTGCACAGACCTGGGTGAGCTGCGCAACTATCTTGGCTTGCAGGTCACCCGGGACAGAGCACGACGCAACATTACCTTGACTCAGTCCCACATGGTGCAGCAGGTCCTTCAGCGCTTTGACTTCACGTACTCCTCGCCTCAGGCCATTCATTCTGTCTACTCGCCACTTGCTCTCAGCTCTGCCTTTGGATTAGTCCGTAGAGCCGAGTTGCCTGTACACGGAGCTTTTTGGCTGCCTCATGTACCTGATGACCTGCACTCGACCTGACCTGACCTTGCATACCCTCTTAGCATCTTGGCGCGCTATGTGGCTCCTGGGAGACACCGACCAGAGCACATGGCTGCATCTAAGAGGGTGTTGCGCTACCTGTGCAGTATGTCGGGCATGGGGCTCGTGCTTGGAGGACGGGCTCGAGTAGTCCTCACTGGTCACGCAGACGCTTCTTGGGTTGATGACTTGGCTACGCAGCGGTCGTCACTGTCAAACTATATTTTTATAGCTTGTGTATTTCTAGTCTAGGTGTTCTCCCTTGTGTTATTTTTGTACTTGCACTAGGGTTAGGTTTTCATATATCTTGTTTGTATTTTCTGTTTTTTTGTTAACTTTTACATTGTGACATGGTATAGAGTTAGGCTCACCCTAGCGAGATCTTCCCCTTAGGAAAAATCACTCGACTATCATGGATCCACCTAGTCGCGCCCCGTCCTAGACTGCCCGTAGCGCGCTTACCTTAGGACCCGTCGCCCGTAGACCCCCCTCCCCCCGTCGCCATTCGCCCGTCGCTCGTTTCCCCCCGTCGATCGCGACCATTTTCCTTTTTTTTTTTCCCCGTCGCTCGTCACCCGTCTCGGCTGT